GCTTTGGATAATTATTTTGTAACTAATAAAATTGATTAAGGAATAAGTGTATTAAATTAATATGAAGACAGAAATTAGATAGTATAAGAAGCATATTAAAATACATGAAATTGAAAGGCATGGAAATGGCATATGAACAATAGGATTTTATGAATAAAATTCTGACTTGTTCCGCATGTATTTAGGTGCACGCAATGAACATCGGTAGCATCACATCTCTCTCCGGTGGCGTTGGTCACCCGCAGCGGTGGAGAAAGCACAGACATGGGCAACTCAAGCCCCACAGCAATCGGGGTAGCAACAAAAGAATGCGTAGCCCCAGAGTCAAACAAAACATCAACAGCTGATGTACCAATCGTAACAGTACCTCTGACAAGGTTCGGAGCTCGATCCGACTGCTGACGATCCAGAGTATAAACTCTCCCAGAAGATGGTGGCATTGCCGGTGCCGAAGTATGTGGAAGGGGAACCATCTGAAGTGGCACTGCCTGCACTGCAGTAGCCCTCGTCGTCGCCGACAGACAGTCTCTGGAGAAATGGCACTCCTTGCCACACTGAAAGCAAATCAACTGGCCGGTAGAGCACGGCCCAAAATGAGTCTTCCCGCATCCCGAACACCTGGGAGCAGGAGGTCTCGCTGCACTCCCCTGAGCAGAAGTCCTCTTGAACTGACTCGGCGCCTGCCGAGCTGCCAACTGTTTACCCTTGCCCTTGTTCCCAAACTTCCTGTCTCGCCAAGAAGTGGAACTGCCAGCTGCAACCTTCGTCGCCTCAGCAACCTTGGCCTTCTTGGCCTTACTCGAGCTGTAGTAATCTTCAATATCACGACACTGCTGAACAAGTGTCCCAAAATCTCTAGAAGCAGAACCAGCTAGGTAACCAGCAATATCCTCACTAAGTCCCCTGCGGAACTTAGCAGCCAGAAATGTAGGAGTAGGCCTCGCCATCCTGAAGTGTGCAAACTTCACCAACTAGTTGAACTTGGCCAGGTACTCGTCCACAGACAACGAGCCCTGAACCAATTTGTCAAATTCTCCTTGCTGCCTCTCCTGAGCGTCATATGGAAAGTACTGACCCAAGAAGAAATCCTCGAACATAGGCCAAGTCATCACATGACCCTGCATCTCGTAGACATGAGAAAGGTTTGTCCACCACTCATGGGCATCGCCCTCCAGCATGTAAGTAGCGAACATCAACTTCTGCGGATCTGTGCACTGCATGACCCAAAATATCTTGTCCAACGCCTGAAGCCAACGTGCCGCAGCAACAGGATCAAAAGATCCATCAAAAGCAGGTGGCTTATGCTTACGGAAAGCATTCAGCCGGCGATCGATCTCATCACGACCCTCAACAAAAACAGGGACGGTCTGCATGGCCCTCGTAAGATGACTGCCATCTCCCATCTGACTTTGAGAGTCATCCTGCAGACTGGGTGGAGGTGGTGGTGGCGGTGGCGGTGGAGGTGGTGGCGGAGGAGCATGACCAACATCAGGGCCATTCCTCATCTCCTCCAACATGACTCTAAACATCGTCATGTTCCCAGACGGTTGGCCTCCAACACGTCCTCAGTGGCCTTCCTGTTCGCCTCTCTGACGGCGTCCAGCATGGCCTGGTTTGCCATTCTCATGGCCTCCTGGTCGGCTTGTCGGGCCGCCTGCATCTCAGCCAATGCAGCCAGGACAGGATCGGGCCGATCCTCCGAAGTCTCGCGGTTTCACTCGGGTCTTACCATGACTCTGCACAAGTTACACAAATTATGAGTTGATCAGGCCCACACAATGTGGTCACATATGCATTATCATAATAATACTTGACGGAGCAAACACACAAAACAGACACAACCAGACATCCTAACCATTGCAATACATACAGGCTTTTTCCTTGAACCGTTGCTCTGATACCATAAAATGTAACACCCCGTGTATACCCGGAATATTAACATTACATCGTATTAAGCGGTGCTTAATTAAAAATTGCGGAATATTCTTTTTCTTTTCAATTATGACGTCATTATCAGTTACCAACTTGATTACTTAATCAATTTCATAAAATATCGCCTGTATGTAAATTGCAATAAGACGTCTATTGAAATACCTCAATATATAAATAAAGTGTGTTTCTACATCACGGTATTACATCTCGTAATCTGGACAATATCCTGATACATTATTACAACACCAAAAGACTCAAGACATAATCAAGACATAACAATACTATGTGTCATGGACAATCCCCATGCTCACCAAATAAACATAATAAACAACCAGTCTCAACATAAAACTCCATAAACATAACTGAAGCTATAAGCATATAAGCAGCATGCAAATCCAGCATCCAATCATGGCAGCATAATATAACAGCACTCTAACTCAGCTCCGGCCTCCTGTCGCCTGAGGTCTCAACATTACCTGACCCTGAAATAAGCATTCCCCAAACGTGGGGTGAGATCTCTAAACAAGAAATCTCAGTAAGACAAGGGGTCCTCAAGGATCTTCCACCCAAAGTTCACTTACATGTGCAATATAAGTTCTAAAAGCATTTATATCATTATCAGTTCCAAAACTATGTAGTGCAATAGATATCTATGGCATGTGTGTAATCACTATCTACTGGCCAGAGAAATGTAGGAATACGTCTATTCCCTACATGTAGTACAAGGAACACCGCTTGCACCTCACCCACAGCCTCACCCTATTGTAAGTTCTACATACTCAGGCTTACCGTATAGGTGGAACACCTCCATGCATATCAACAAGGCACTAGCATACAATAGCTCAACAGCATTTCCAAAACATCAAAAGCATGTAACACAGCATGCATATACCATATCCCCATGGGACATGGTGGAACCACAACATGGCTAAACCGAGGACACGAAAGCTTACCTCTAAGCTAGCTATCCAATGCCACAAGCTCAAAGTCCAATCACAGTAAATCACAATCTGATATGGACCAAATATAAATCAATAAACATGTACCATATGCATTCAAATTAAAGACAACGCCTTTTCATTACGTTTTATGTCTTAAAGCTTCTAACAAAGCCACAAGCCCTTAATCCAATGATTCTGGCTTAGACCATTAATACAGAAGTTCAACTTCATCAATCTAGGGTCCACAAACCCCCAATAGCCTACTGTACACACAACACAGCTACTGTTCTGCGAAATCCCTGAATATCCGGATATTCCTCGGGACCATATCCGGATATGCAATATCCGGATATCTCACTGTCCATATCCGGATATGCAATATCTGGATATACAGATTCACATATACGGATATCCAATATCAAGATATCCCGAAACCCCATATCAGGATATCACATATCCGGATATCATATCCGGATATCCACTATCCGGATATTCGACGGGCAGATATCCGGATATTTCACGACAGAATTCAGTTTCTGCATTTTCGTGAAGATATCCCTTAAAGGTTCCCTTTTTAATCCAATGTAACGTCCAAGCATGCATCTTTAATCAATTTTAGGTTCAACTATCAGTTGGTTACATGTTAAACTCATTTTCATGCAAAGACACCTTTTTTAATCATCAAAACACATGACCAAAGGTTAGGCAACTCACCCCAAGACTTAAAACAGAGGATGAAGTGCTCTTGGAGGTTACCAATGGCTCCTCATAATTCTGACTAAGAAGGTGCACGAAAATGCACAACAAGATGGCTCATTTCTCCACAAAGATAGACACTTGGAGTTCACAAATGGCAAGACCAAGGCTTCCACTACTCAACCTCCAAACTCAGCCCTCAAGACTGACTCAAACAGTGGCTAAGACTCAGAAAAAGCACCCTCCCATCCTCACAAGGATAACTCTCAAGTGTATACGAGCTCAAGGATGAAGAATCAAGAAAAATGAGGAAGAAAAGGCCACAAGGCTCTCCAAGAGGAAGGAGACAGCAATGGAATAGTAACAAGAGAGCCTCAGCCGCCCAAAGTCACGTAGGAAAATAGGAGGTCTAGGGTTTTGTGCCCACATAAGAGTATTTATAGCCAAAACTCACTTAAGCGTACAGTATTAACTTTAATTGCTACGCTTAGCATTTTGATCCCAAACTTTGGAATCTGAAAATACACATTTTCCAAGAATTAACATATTTTTATTATATTTTTCTTAGCAACTTTCCGGTACGCGCTTTTCAAAGCCAGTACCGGTTTCTAGCACCAGTTCTCATTATTTGGACTTGAAACTCGTTTTACAAGTCCTACATATTATTCTAGTAATTATCATGCACTTACATTAATTTTCTGGAATACTTTTTCAATACGCATTTATACCGTCTAGCAGAACCGGTATCTGCACTTTTCTACCGAAAAATGACTTTCAGCATTCTTAATCACTTACCATAATTATTAAAGCCTCTTAATAATTATTAGGGTCAATTACGAAATCATTTCCTAATTTTGCATAATTAATTATTTAAATACCTTAATTAACGGTGCGGGTTCTTACAATGGTGCCGTGCATGGAATTTCCACTGTGATGGCACGCGCATGACGGTGCTATGAGCGTGATGAAGGCGTTATATACGGAATATGATATATGATGAAAAGGATATATGATGAAAAGGTTTATGATGAAAAGGATTTCATGTTTGAAGCGACTATTTATAATTTTGTGCCTAGTTTAATACTGTTGCATTATTGGTTTTGTTGCCACACTACTGGGATTTTTCTCACCCCTTTGGAGCTGTTATTTTTATAAAATGGCAGGAGGACGTAAAAGCTTTTGAGGACTTGGATATTTGCTGTTGGTTTCTGCTAAATTATGTATTTTATATCTCTCTAACACAACTTATTCCTATACTCGAGTTTGAGTATTGAGAATAGAGAAAATGGTGTACAGTTCCTATATGGATCCGACACTACACGAACAGTAATAGTTGGATTTTGATGAATAGATAAAAAAAAGGGGATAATTGTTATGGCGTTGGATGTTTTCGTAAAGTGCGTTTCTCTTTTGGCAGGACTGCTTTGGGAGCCAATATCAAGTGCTCCTGATGCTTGGTTTGATGTAGTTGAACGCTACTCGAATGATAATAACAAGACACTAAAGTATAACTCTTTACTTTAATTACAGGCTTGGTTGTTATATTTTTTTAGGGGATTCTGGGATTGTCGAAATATCCAGATTTTCTTTGCAAGCTTCTTTCTTTGGAGTTGTTGCATTGGTAATTTATGTGGCTCTCATTTATGCAGACGGACCGCACAAGTGAGTAGATGTCTCAACTTGGGATCATACAACTACCTTGGTTTTGCTGCAGCTGATGAATACTGCACGCCTCGAGTAGTTGAGACATTGAAGAAGTATTCACCGAGCACGTGCAGCAGCAGGGTGGATGGGGGTTAAGTATATTGTTTGTGTTACCAATTAAAAGAAAGTTTTGTTTGGTTATCTATGCACGTGCCTCAAATGTGGCTTCTCTGATAGGCACAACTGCGCTTCACAATGAGTTGGAGGAGGACGTGTTGCAAACTTTGTCAAAGCCGGCTGCTATTGTTTTTGGATGGGCTATGTGACAAACTCTGCTATTCTTCCAGTCCTGATGGGTATGTAAAGAATGTTCAGTGATTTCGTTTTGGTGAGAGATGCTAATTGTATTTGCAATATTATTTATTGATAAATTTATATTTTTATAGGGAGGTTTGATCATTAGTGATTTTTCATTGAACCACAACTCAATTGTTAATGGCGCACGTGGATCTGGAGCAATTATTCGTGTTTTTCAACACAATAGTGAGTACCTTGGCTGCATGCCAAAATAAGAGATATGAATTGTCATTGAGTAGTTTGGTTTTCAATTTCTAAATATAACATTTGTATACTATTGGAATCTCTCTCCTTTCGAATAAGACAGGTCTGAATCTCAATTATTGGTTGGGGCAGATGATGGTGGCTACTGTTCTGCACCATACCATTACCATTTGACTAAATATAATAGGTTAATAAAATCCCACGTGTTCACATTTCTTTTCTACTAACGGAGAATAAGATTAAAGCATAACTAAACTGACCTTTGATTTTAGTTATGTCTATGTAGGTTTTGAACTCTTGTAATCTATGTTTTACTTGGCCATTGGGTTGCGGTTTTTCCTTTTGTCTCGTTGCTGTGCTTATATTACTATTCTGGTGCTACCAATGGTCACAGCATTATTATTTACTTGCCCTTGGCTATTTTACCCGCAGCGCCATCACATCTTGAAGAGGTTTTAAGAGAACAAATTGCAGAGGGACAGCCAAGGACCCGTAGACCATGGAAGAAGGTAATTGTTATCGTGGAGGGGATATACAGTATGGAAGGGGAGCTTTGCAAACTTCCAGAGATCATAGCTGTATGCAAAAAATATAAGGTTGGTTAATGTTGTAGCTGAAATCTAATGTACAAATTGTGCTGTCTGTTGCACCATGTATATTCCACTTGCCTTCTTTTTTCTTTTGGGAAGGGGGAAGTTGGAGTATTTTATATCAGTTTTAATCCCATACACTGATAAGTCTATAGGGATAAGGCATCCTGTAACTTCTCTAAATGAACTGTTGTTATGTCCATGAAAATTGTTTGTGAAAAATGTGGATTCCATTCAAACTTATATTTCATCAACTGCCGATCCCAAAGATAAAGGTGATGTTAATGTCGATGAACTCAAGAAAGAGATAAGAAAATCCCTATTTTTCCTCTTTAAAAGGATGACCCCATCCCCAATTAGTTTTGGATACAAGTCATAAGACAACCTTTCATGCTACTACTTTTATCTTTAGAGTCTGTTTGGGAGAAGGGGAAAGAGAGAGGAAGCAACAGAAAGTTTTCCTT